TCTAATGTTTGTTTATTTATTTTTGAGAGAGCGAGAGTGCATGCTTGCAAACAAGGGAAGGGCAGAGAGAGAGAGGGAGACAGAGAATCCCAAGACTCCAAAGCAGACTCCATGTTGTCAGTGCTGAGCCTGACACAGGATTCAGACTTACCAACCATGAGATAATGACCTGAGCCAAAATCAAGAGTCAGATTTAGCTTAACTGACTAAGCTACCCAGGGACTCTGTGAGGATATCATTTTTTTTTTTTTAATTTCTTTTATGTTTGTTTATTTTTGAGAGAGCGAAAGAGAGAGAGAGAGAGACAGAGTGTGAGCAGAGGAGGGACAGAGAGAGAGAGAGAGGGGGAGACACAGAATCTGAAACAGGCTCCAGGCTCTGAGTTGTCAGCACAGAGCCCGATGCTGGGCTCGAACTCATGAACTGCGAGATTATGACCTGACCTGAAGTCGGACGCTTAACCGACTTAGCCACCTAGGTGCCCCCAGGATATCACTCTAAAAAGGCTGATGGGGTTAAGATTGAGCATGAGGGTTGAGTGTTAGTCACGAGTCAGGACTAACTCAAATGCTAAGATATGAGATGCCTTTCTGCTAAACCACCAAATAATAAAAAATACTTTTAGAATATAATGGCTGCTAATATTTAAAATATTGGCATATTTGAATGTTTGTTTAGTATTATTTGGAGATTCTTGTATTTTAGAAAATGTCAGAATAGTCTAGAAGTATATACTCAGAGTTCTTAACAGTTTTTACTCAGAACCCATGTTCCTGCATTGCCTCTGTCTCCCTTGGATGGTTTAGTGAGGTAAAATAGTACTGTATTAAAACAAATTAAGATAAATTCAGGGTGATTCACTAAGGAAACAAAACCTACATTGAGTGGTCTAGCTTTTGATGATCACAGTAGCTGATCTAGGGCCCTTTGATACATTATACTTTTTAGGTAGATTCATATGGAATTGAAGTTTTTGTAGGTCAAAAATGGTCACATATTGACTATTTCATACAGTGTAACATAATGCGAATTAAAAACAAATTATTCTTTTAAAAAGTGCAGTAAGAGAATAACAAATATTCTAGCATTTGGAAACCATATCGTTAATCTGCCCTTTAAAATCAGTGCTCATGAGGTCTGGTTTAGTGTTAACTGTAATCAGAGAAAGATCTAGAAAACCTTAAGGAAAAGAGGATGATGAAAATTAAGATTATACATAGTGTTTAAACTCGTTTGAAAGAGAACCGGATAAATGGACTTAAAATCTTGAAACTTGTGCCCCCTCCAACCCCAATATAGGATTCTTCAATATGTTTATGTTTATATTGTATTTTTGAAAATGTTAAAAATGATTATTTTCAGGGGGATGGAGAAGTGTTCTTTTTGAAAGAATGTACCAAGAGGCATACTGACTCCATTGACAGAAGGTTTTGTTTTGACGTGGAAGCTGCTGACCGGTAAGTTATTAGAATCATGCCACTTAAGGAAAGAAGCCTATAAAAAATGATTTAAAGAATGGAGGTTAATTGAAACTGAGGTTTCCTTGGCCTGAAAGAATGTTATCTTGTTACGTTTCCAGGCTTTGTGTTCATTTTGACTTGTTAGTCTTTGTCCCTGTGTTTAGCTGTGGAGTGATAGCTTGCTCTCGGCTGGAGTTGGAGTTCTTCTAACCAGTAATTAAAAAATTACCTTGGAGCATTTCATCGTTGACCCAGGCCTGATTGGTGGCACTGAAAGAATAATGAATGAAACTGAGGAAGTAGGTGACATAGCTGACAAGAGATAGTGGTCTATTAATACAGAACAATATTCATTTTTGTGTGTGGGAATTTTCAGTGTATATTCTGTATGTGATGGAGGGTTGTAGGCAAACTATTCAAAGATTAGTTATTATTTCCCTTGTCATATGACTTTAAGTTATTATAAAAGAATCTTTGCGGGGCGCCTGGGTGGCGCAGTCGGTTAAGCGTCCGACTTCAGCCAGGTCACCATCTCGCGGTCTGTGAGTTCGAGCCCCGCGTCAGGCTCTGGGCTGATGGCTCGGAGCCTGGAGCCTGTTTCCCATTCTGTGTCTCCCTCTCTCTCTGCCCCCTCCCCCATTCATGTTCTGTCTCTCTTTGTCCCAAAAATAAATAAACGTTGAAAAAAAAAAAAAATCTTTGCTAGAGAGGAGGAAGTAAAAACAGAAAAAAGTTCGTCCGATAACATTACTACTTGTCCGGCATTTACTTCTGTGTCCGATTGTACTAAGGAAAATCCTGGTACTTAGAGAATGTTTCTTTTGTAATGTCTCACAGTATGGAGGTTCCTTGCCAGTCCTGGTTTTGTCAATACTGGTCTTTAGCTAAGGCTGTTTCATAGTTGTATAATAAAAGTTTACAATATGAGACTTCTGTAACAAAAGTTCATTTCAGGTCAGATACAAAAGTAATTAATGCTTCCCCTTCCCTTAGAGGATGTGACCAAGTCTATGGGGTTGGTGCAGAGAGGGAAGAGCTATGCTTTACTTTCCAATAAATGGATTGAAGAGCAGGTGTGTAAAAGTGTGCCGTTAAGCACCATGATAAATTTGGTACCACCATGAAGAAGGCAGGTAGTTTAATAAGCGTTTTGCCAAGAGTGGGAAAAAAAATGAAAGAGGATGTCATTGCGGAAGATGTTAAATTTCAAGCCAGCAAGGGCTGGTTCAGATACCTTAAGACATTCAGGCTGTCTAGTATAACTTGAACATATGTGTGTATATGCCCATAGTGGGCATTTACTGAGTCCTAAGTGCCAGACAGTGCTCTCCATTCTTCCATGCTTTATCTCATTTTATCCTCATCACAGCCCTGTCAGGTAGGTATTATCCTTTTCATTTTATGATGGGAATCTGGAGGCATAGAGAGCTTGAGTGATTCTCCCAAGGGCATGTAGTTGGTAAGTGGAGGAGCTGAGATTTTGAGGCATTCTGAAGATTTCTGAGAGGCATTCTGCCTCTAGAGCCCCTGCTGCTTCTTAGCCACGATGTTGTAAGTGAGTATTACCATGTAATTGTGACATTCCCTAAATAATTGAAAAAGGTGAATCAGCAGTGCTGTCTACTAGAAAATATGTAAATGTAGTTAATCTGATTTGCTTTGAAAGCAGGATACTCCTAGTACTTTCGTATATTGTTTTATTCCAGTTTGTATTGTTTTTGCCTAACCCTGTATTTTTTTCTAAGACCTGACCATGCCAAATGCACTTGGTCAACGATGATGCTTACTATGATTGTAAGCACTTCCCACTCTTCCCAGTGATCGATGAGGGATTACTGTGGAGTTACTTTCATTTATAAAGCAAAAGATAATGCCTTATAAATAGACTCTGAGAACTGGGGAAGACTTTAGAGGTGATTTGTTCTAGTGGTTTTTAAACTGTTTTATAGGGAACCCCCCCTTTTCAAATAAAATTTTATATTTATATGTATATGAAACAAAAAAGTTGCCTTACTAAAGTGGGGCAAGGGGCCTGGATCTGTACTCTTTCAGTTTCCTTCTTCTTGCAGACATCTCTAATTTGCTTCTGCTGACACCCAGAGCTGCTTTCTGTGGCAGGGGTACCGCTAGTCTAGATAGATGGTTGAAGAAAGGCAGACGGAGGATCTGATGTCTAGTTGGTGACTGATGAATTATTTGGAGTCAGCTGGGGTTGACACTCCTATTCCAGGCAGAGTGAATGGCATATCTGAGGGCCTGTAGGCAAGGGAGGGCGTGGCCCATTTGACATCCCCAGAGACACCAATGACACTGGAGCAGCCAGGAAGAGTGGAAGAAGAAGCTTGAGATGGGGGCAAGGGCCTGAGGTATTTTAGCTTAATACATTAAATGGTTTTAAGTAGAGTAGCAGGTGATACATTATACATTATATTTTTCAAGACTCACCCTGGCAGAGTAGAGACAGGTTCAAAGATGGCAACAATAGGGGCCCTGGATTAGTGTTGGTAGATGTGGAAATGGAAGCTAAGGGATCCATTTGAGGGAGATGTTTAGAGCTAAGTTTAGAGACAAATTGGATGTTGGAGTAGGAAGTGAAGTAAAGGAAGTGAAGGAAGGGAAGGTTTCTGGCTTAAGCAACTAGGTGGTGCCATTTACTAAGATGGAAAACCAAGGAGGACCAGGGATGGATGGAGGATGATGAATTCAGCTGTGGTCATATTGAGTTAGATTGTTGTGGGTCATTCAGTAAGAAATCCATTGGCACCTAGGACATTGATCTGAGGATTAATGCAACAGTCTGCATAACTTGAGCCACAGAACTTGGCAGGTACACAGTGCAGAAAGGTGAACTGGGGGAGAGAAAAGCTGCAGAGGGTAGGGAGCTGTTTTTGCAGACAGAGGATAGAGAAAGAGAATGGGGGAGAGAGTGGTGTGTAGGATTGTGCAAGAAAAGCACTCCCCCCCCCCCCCCCCCCCCCCCACAGCAGCTGGAGAGAGAGAGAGAGAAAGAGTGAAAACACTCACAGGGGACTGAATAAGAAGTCTGTTCCCCACAACCATTGGCAAGAAGAAAGCAGAGAGTTTCAGTACCACCAGGATTCTACAAACAGTGGAGCGCAGAGTCTGAAGCTCTGGAGCTCAGTGCCTGGTGCTGCTCTGGTGAGGAAGCAGGGAGAATCCCCAGGAGCAGCCATTGGAGTCTGTGGGGTCCGTGTGCCATAAGGGGAGAGGCAGTTTCCCTGCTTGCAGTGCATTTGGTAGAGGCCATAAACCTCCCCACAGGCAAAGGTCCCAGTGGACCCCAGAGAGCAGCCACGTTTGTTGGTATTGGGACAAAGATGCCAGAGTGAGGTGAAACCTGGCACTGACTGTGCTGTGGTTTGCCATAATCTCTGAACCTCTGACACTGCACAATCACAGGAATGTTTTGTGGGGCAAGCCGGCACCCAACCATTGCTCAGTGAGACCCTCCCCTAGAGAGTGAGCATGGGTCCAAGCCCCAGCGGTTTCTGAAGCATGTGGTTTTGAAACACAACCCCATCTGAGATAAAACTCTGGAGGGAGGTGCCGCCTAGCAGGCGGATGGCTTGGACGTGGACAGGGTAGAGGGGGAAGTTAGATGGAGGCCTGAGACAAAGGAAGGGTGCCTGATTGTGGGTCAGTGAGAGCGGAGAGTTCCTGTGCCAGAGACTAGGGAGCTGGAGAAACCATTTTCACCTCTCCTGCGCAGGCGCACCACACTGATCCACTCCAGTAAGCTGAGCAGCACCACTTAGTGGAGAATGGATTCGTTACACAAAGTCCCACTGAACTGTTCCCTCCAAGCACATTCTCTAGAAGACCAGCACAAGTCATTCCATTCACTTAGTGTACAGATTATAGAGGGCTTCATAGTTTCAGTTCTAGGGGAAACTGGGTCATTCTGTTCACTGGTTCATTTATTTGTTCATTTTCTTTGCATCTGTTTTTGCTTAATTGTTTTTCTTTTTTTCTGTTTCTTCCTCATTCTTGGATACAGAAAGAAAATATTATTTTTACTACTTTACTTTTTAGTTTTTTAAATTCTACTTCATTTTATTCTGTTATATAATTATTTCTAATTTTTAAATTTTTTCTTACTTTTTTTTCCCTTTTCTTTTTCTGTATTCTGTCAAGCTTCTTTCAACAAGCAGTGCAAAACATGTAGGATCCGTCTTCCTTTATTTGATTTTTGTTTTGTTTTTAATTTAATTTTTTATTATTTTTTTTCCTCCAAAATGACAAATTGAAGGAATTTACCCCAAAAGAAAGAATAAGAAGAAATGACAGCCAGCGTCTTAACACAGATATAAGCAAGATATCTGAACTAGAATTTAGAACCACAATAATAAGAATACTAGCTGGGGTTGAAGAAAAGCATAGAGTCCCTTTCTGTGGAGATAGAAGAAATAAAAGCTAGTCAGGATGAAATTAAAAATGCTATAACCGAGATGCCATCTTGAATGAATACCATGGTGGCCAGGCTGGGTGAAGCAGAGCAGTGAATCAGCAATTTAGAAGATAAAATTTTGGGGAATAATGAAGCAGGAAAAAAGGGGGGAAACAAAGGTAAAAGATCATGATACAAGACTTAGAGAACTCAGTGACTTATTAAAAAGGAATAATATCCAAATCATAGGAATCATAGAAAATTAAGAGAGAGAAAAAGGGGCAGAAGGTTTATGTGAGCAAATTATAGTGGAAAACTTTCCTAATCTGGGGAAGGACACAGACCTCAAAATCCAAGAAGCACAGAGAACTCCCATTGGATTCAACAAAAACCGACCATCAACAAGGCATATCATTGTCAAATTCACAAAATACACAGACAAGGAAAGAATTATGAAAGCAGTAAGGGGGGAAAAGAGCCCTTAACCTTTATGGGAAGACAGATCAGGTTTGCAGCAGACCTATCCACAGAAACTTGGCAGGCCAAAAAGGAGTAGCAGGATGTATTTAACGTGCTGATTCAGAAAAAA